GCGCGTGCCCACGCAGACTGGATGGTTGACGACTAGAAGCGAGTTATCTGTGCGGATGAGACCAAGATCGGTCGTCTTGCATCCGACTGACTCTCATACGCCTACGTTCACGAAGGGACTGCCCTCCAAAGACACCGAATCAAGCAAACCGTCAAACACGGGGGCGGTTGCTTGATAATTTACGACTGCATATCGTAAAAGGGAGCAGGCTTCATGAGCAAAACATATGGTAGGGTGGACGGACTGCTCTCGCTGAGTATACTGCAGGACGATCTCAACAGTACGATTGAGCTTTACCAGCTTACACCCTCAAAAACTATCTTCCAGCACGACAACGACCCGAAGCACAAGTCGCGTATCGTACAGGAGTGGCTTTGAGAGTAAGATTCAGGGGTGCTAGAGTGGCCATCTTCCTCACCCGACCTCAACCCAATGGAGCATTTATGGGCTCATCTCAAGAGGCAGCTGGCCAAGCCTTATAAGCCTCCCACTGGTATGCTGGACCTTTGGGAGGGGGTGCAGGAGAAATGGGAGAAGATCCCGGCGGATGTGTGCACCCACCTGGTGGGAAGCATGCCCGGGAGGGTGAGGGCGGTGTCTAAGGCGAAAGGGCGGTGGATTAGGTACTAGTTAGGGGCTGATGTAACTTGCTGCTTGCGCCTGGCAATAATTGTCCACATGTACCAAGATTGTTATTTTCTAGTATTTGTTGTAAACATCATTATACTTGTGTGGTGTAAGGCATGGGCGTGGAGCCTTACCCCAACCTACATACACTAGGCACACCAGAAGATTAAGTCTTAATGTCCATGGCCCCCTAAAATGGCAAAATTCCTCTAAGTCACAAACATGTGGACAATACTTTCCGTCGCTGTACGCTGATGCTTGTAACGCTTCGGCTTGTGGTAGAATCGCCTCCAATGCATGTGCCGTAGGGTCGCTAGTGAGCGAGTACTTGCCGGATTAGAGGTTAATTACTCCTCAATCTTTCAAGCATCGTGACATGCATGGAGAATTTTCCATGCAGGTCATTAACACCTGGAATCGCGACGCATGATTGGTGTGTCGCCTCGTGAGGTCGATGTTGAGACTGCTCCAACCAATCACTTCGGATGGCTGAGATTCTTGATGAAGACGAATCGTTCAGCTCCTGTTACGAAGTAGTGTCTCGCTGGCCTTGACGAGACGGGTTCACTGCGTCATCGTTGCGTGCGAAATCTGCTCCTTCGCAGCAACTTGATGTTGGGAATATTGCAAGAGAAAACGGCTACTTCTCTGCAATCCCATAGGTTGTCGATCCAATTAATGAGATGAAGTGTCTCATGGATGGAGAACATGTCTTCACGCAGCTCCATTGTTGTTCCTGGGTGAAGATCCGCTGTGTTGATGTCGATCCATTTTTTACGAAGACGACTTCGTCAAAATTACTCGATCGTTATCGACACTAGTCAGAAGATGCGTCGATTGTACAGTCCCTGGTCACGAATGTTGTCTCCATGATGATGTTTTCCCATAGTGTAGTCTCTGCTGCATTCGTGCCGTTGATTCCGCAACGATCCGACAATCCACGTTCTCCTGTCAGTTTTCTGCTTGCAGCCATTACCAAGTAATACTCTGGCAGATTTCTGACTCTGTAGATGACTTGCGTGCCATATTCGTCACCAAATGATGGATTTCGACAACAGTGTCAAAAGCGGCTGATTTCTTGTTCTGTGCGTCATTCTCCCTTTGTGCAGAACTCGCGCTCCATCTCGTCCGTTGAAGCAGAAGTCGCGCTCCATCTCGTCCGTTGAAGCAGAAGTCGATCCGACGGTCCAAACTCCAAGCGATCTGAAGATGCTCCGGAGTCGCGTTCAGCAGCTTTCGGTGCTTGGTTGGGATCGTTTCCTGCAGCAATTCTCAGTCGTCGATGCCGGCTGTCGAACGATCGGACGCTGCGAAAAACTTCGCGGCTTGCGAGGTCTTGTTCCCATTCGCGCTGAAACTCGAACTCGCTCAGCAGGATTTCGTTTTCGCCTCGGTCGATCTGAAGCGTCGAATCCCCATCGGACGGATTTCGTCGGTCGCAGCTCCGCACATTTCCGCGGAACTCCAAGTGTCGTCGCGAACTGCGAACTCCTCGGAATGTCGCAGGGAGTGTTCCACCAGAAATGACGCGATCGCGAGGTCGAGGCCGTTTGCCCCCGCGAAAAATCGGCTCCGTCGATGCAGTCCATCGAACGGTTGGCGAGGCATCTCGCCTTCGAAGGGGACACCAGGTGCACCTGCGCGAGGATTGTCGAAACTTATATGAAAGTGCATTGTACTTACAGGAAACGAAGTTTCGACTCCATCCTCCGCGTTCTCCTGGGGGCCCAGCGGTTAAGCGTTGAGCTGAAACCTTGGCTCTGATACCAAGTGTCACAGGATCGAATGTCCCGAGGAAAGGTTTGCTCAATGTTGCACTATCAATCAGTACAAGGTGCTTTTATACTTCCAGATTACATCAGGTAACCAGGTTTATACTATCCAAAGGGAATAGACCCTTCTAGAAATAGAATCACCATGCGTATAGCCACGCGAGGCTATTGGCTTTAAGGGATTACGGTAGGATTACGCTAGATATAGCGCGCCAGTACATCCCGAGCCTGGTCGGTGATATAATTATAATAACAGGGTAAACCAAATGATAATGGAAAAGGAGGAATAGGAAACCAAATGAGATGAGATAAAGACCAAATGAATCATGATAAAAAGAGGAATGAAATAGAAAGGAAATATGGAAAGGGGAAATTGGTGTAACGGGGTCGTACTCTCACACTGACAACGCACGCCTCCCGAACCACCACCCGGCACACCACCACGCGCACGACCACCTCCAGCGCCAGGCCACCCAGGCGGGAGGACACTCGCCTGCCTCGTCTGCGGCGGCTGCTGCAGCTGCGGCGGCTGCTGCGGCTGCGGCGACTGCTGCGGCTGGTGCGGCTGCTGCTGCTGCTGCTGCGACTGCGGAGGCGGCTGCTCAGCTCGACCGGACAGGGTCCCCTCGTCCGCTCCAGCACCAGACGACCCGACTCCACCACCACCCCCACCTGCACCCCCTCCTCCTCCTCCACGCCCAGCCTTGGGGCGGCGGCCCTTCCCCGAACTGAACTGCGCTGCAGCAGCAGTCTCAGCCACAGCGGCAGAACCGTCGGAGAAGGTACACAGAGCAGGGGCACAACCCTGAAAGATAGGGACCGGCACAGTACCGCTCGCCTGGGCGATGGAGCGGTGGTGGGTCCCAATAACAGTTAGGGTGTCTACAAAGTCGGTGAGGGTGAGCTCACCGGGGTGAATACTAAGGAAGCGGTCGCGGGCCGCAAGGCGGTCAGGGAGGCGGGTGGCAAGCAGGTAGAGGGTAGAGGTAACGGGCGGCTGGTGGGCTCTAAGCTGTGCGTCAGTGCAGGCAGCGCGCCAGGTCTCATCTATCGTGCGCAGGTGGGCAGTCAGGTCAGCGACAGTGGGGAAAGACGCAAGGTCGGGAAAGAGCATCGGGAGGATCAGGCGACCCACTAAGGCAGCAGGAGGGGTGGAATAGCGCTTGATGACAGCATCTAAGAAAGCCTGTGCGGTAGTGATGGACCTAAAGCGAGGGCGCTCAGACGGGGGAAGGGCATTGCTAATGGCAAGCTGGGCGACAGTGTCTCGGGAAAGCCAGACAGAGCGCGCAAGGGCAGCGGCTGCAGTAGACTCGCGCTCAGCGGGTGTGGGGTCAGCGGGCAGCACAGCAGGGGGGTCTGGGCAGGGGAGCGTACCGTCAAGGTGTGCGGAAAGCGGGTGGCCATCCTGCCGCTGGCCAGTGAGGTGGCGGCGGAGGTCGGCGAGCCACGCCTCGAACTCCAGAGGCTGGCCTTCAGCGTCGAAGCGAAGCTCCGCCGCCATCAGGAGCAGGGCATGACTGTACAGTGCGGTATAGTGCGGTGCAGTGCGGTGCAGCGCGGTGCAGTGCGGTGCAAGGCGGTGTAGTGCGGTGCAGTGCGGTACCATGCGGTGCAGCACGGTACCGTGCGGTGCAGTGCGGTACCATGCGGTGCAGTACGGTACCGTGCGGTGCAGGTGATGGGGTACCGTACCAGGGAGGGTGTAGGGCCGGAGGAGGCACGACGAGCGGGCCGCACACAGCTCGAGGCAGGACGGGCGCGGGGGCCAGGATTAGCAGACACCAGCCGGCGGGACGAGCGCAGGGCCGACGGGACGGGCGCGGAGCCGGCTGGGACGGGCGCAGGGGCTGAGCGGACGGGCGCGGAGGTCGCGAGGGTGGGCGCGGGGCCGGCTGGGACGAGCGCAGGGGCCGAGTGGCCGGGCGCGGAGCCGGTAAGAACGGGCTCAAGGGGGCCGAGAGGGCGGGCGCGGAGGCCGAGCGGGCACGGGGCCGGCTAGGACGGGCGCAGGGGGGCGCTAGGGCGGGCGCAGGGGCCGCTAGGGCGGGCACGGGGCCGGCTAGGACGGGCGCTAGGGCCGAGGGGAGGGGGCGCGCGGGGCGCGAGGGCCGTAAGGAGGGGCGCGAGGGCCGTGAGGAGGGGCGCGCGGGCGCGGCTAGGACGGGCGCGCGGGCGCGGCTAGGGGGGGGGGGGGGGGTAGGTCCTAGAGCGGAAGCGTGGGCGGGCGGGGACCTACCTACTGCTGATACCATCTTAGAACTGAATGAATTGAGAAGAGAACCTGTGTACAAGGAAATATATCTAAGGGTTGTACCCTCTAAGAGGTGACCCTATACAGTCTATACAAACATTACAGATTACACATGTTTGAGACGAACCCCCCTCGTAATGACTTCTGCTGGCAGTCAAGAAGCCCGCGCGACGCGCCAGTGCTGTAAATTTGCCATCCGTTGGTGCTAAGAAACGGACGCGTGTCCATCTAGATGGCTCGGACAAAACGAGGCTAAGAATCTACTGTCTCCCGTTTGAAACAAATGACCCCCTGTATCACCCTGATTGGATTGGAATACCAGAACATGTGACAAAAAACCCTTACGTAATAAATAGCTGCACATGGGTATTAACTACCATCGTTTAAAATGTCCACCCAAACGATTTTCAATGAATTTTCCATAAGACCTAGGGTCATCATGCCGGGAGATTACGGTACCACTTGGGCGTCAGTTGTAGGGCATCGTACACATTCATACATACCCGTGTGCCTCATCACCTAAAATACCCAAGTGCGCATGTTATCCACCCATGCCTACAATACCAGTTACATCATATCCAGCATCACTTCCAACGGTAACTTTCATCGTCACTTGGTCACAGATGAAGCGGTGCCAGTGCTGCCGGCAGTGCTGCCCTTGATGCCACTGTGACTGCTGTCTGCATCGTCATCCCTGTCCATCGAGGCCTGCGCCTGTGCTCCAAGCTTCACGATGTCCTCCACTAAGATCTTGCCATCTGGCACCAACCAAGAAACATACAGAAGTGACAACATCGATCAGCATTAGTAGGATAATGCACGAGATAATGAGTTACGAGACAAGACAACAAAGCAGTGAACACGTTAGCCTGCCCCCCTGCCACTCACTTCTTCCCTCCCAACCCCCCACATTCACCACCCCAGACCCAACCTCCCAAGAAATCCGCCACCATTCATGCTTCACAGCATTCTGTGCCCTTCCAGCCCCAATCCATATGCAACACCACTGTTACAAATAGCTCTAAGGCTGTATCTCCCCTCCCCCCCCCCCCCTCCTCCCCTCTCCACGCCCTCTCTTCTTCCCCACCGCACCCCACTGCACCCCACACTCACCAGCGTCCTTGGCCAGGTTGCTGATGAGCTCCTCCAGCCCTTCCTGCCCCAGGCTGTCCCTCAGCAGCACCGCTGCCGCCCCCACCTCCTCCGGGCTCACCTTGCCGTCATAGTCACTGCACATACAGTCACAGTGGTTAAGAATCATGCAGCAGCGCAAACAGAGAAGGGAGACAAACAGGCACAGAATACAAGGAGGTGGGGGTGCAGGGAGGGAGAGAACAAGAGCCACATGGTTTGTAAAAGATCGGATGGCAAACGAGAGCCACAGGACCCACAGAGAGTAAATGAAACTTTGAGAAACGAACAGGAGGATTTCTAGTGTAGGCGGGAAGACGCACCAAAGCCTCATGGCCATCTGACACGCATACAACAGGCGGACACAGGTGCATGTCAAGGGCTGTGTGCTGTTCCTTGTCTTCACCACACTATCATTCCCTAGCCAGTTTTGACGTGCTGCTAAATGCAAGGACCTGCCTTCCTGTGACTCCCACAGCCACCACTGCGACTGCGGCTGCTGCTGCTGTCGCTGTTGCTGCTGCTGCTGCTGAGAAAGGCGTGCTAGAATCAGGCTCTTTGTCATTGTGTTATGAAGCGTCTGAGGATGTGAAATGCGAGCTGGCCGCAAGCTCGTTGCCGTTAAGCTGTGAGGCGCTGCACCCGCCATTGGAAGTTGTGCAGGCAGTAGTAGGCTCGTTTTCCCTGCTGATCCACGAGTTGAACTGCCAAGCTCACATGCATACTTAGCCCTACAGACATTGCCATGTGACTATGTGCTAAAGGGCTAGTTGCCATGTGCTAGTTTTGAACGCGAGAGACGACAAAGGAGAAGGGAACCGAAGGGGGAGAGGGGAAGGGAGAGGGGAAGGGGAAGGGGGAGGAGGGGTCGTGATGTGCTCACGTGTCAAGCGTCTTAAGTCGCTTGCCTATCTTAGCGTCCACACTGTCTAGCTCCTTCTCTAGCTTGTGCAGCATGGAGTCAACCTGGCAGGAGAGGTCACGTGCGGGGGGAGAGAAGATGCAATGTAGGTACACATGCACACATGCACACACACACCCATACACACACACATGCACATGCATGCACACGCCCACGCACACACCAATCATTGCTTACGATGAAAACAAGGCCACAAAATGAGGACACGAAAGAAAGTAGAGAAAGAAGCGGGGAACGAGAAGTGCAGCAACAAAACCAACATGGAAAACACCAGTTGGACGATTACCTTAGAGATGAGAGCGTCCGACACATCAGAAGCAGCGGCCTCACTGGCCTCCTTCTCACTCGCCTCCCTCGCTGCAGCATACGCCACCCTCAGCTCCTCCGCGCCCTCTGTGCCGTGCTGCTGCACCATGCTGTTGTACAGCTCGATCTGCAAGGTGGGGAGATGCGGGAGAGAGGGAATGATGGGGGAACCACTTGCGCTGTCACTGCCCTCGACGTGCTCCTTCCACGCCGAGCTGCTGCTGTTTTACGGCTTGATATGAGCAATGGGAAAAATTGGTGCGAGGGGAAAGAAGGATGCCGCAACACGAAGATGCCAATGTGCGTGTGAAGCAGGTGCAAGGTCAGAAACGCTGCACAACCAGATGCTAAGCCACCACCACCACATGACATGTAACACGCGTTTGCAACTGAAGTGGTTCCCCCCGCCCGCCCCACCTTTCCCCCAAATCTCTTGCTCAACGCTCTAACGAAAACTATGCACTCACTACCCACCACTGCCTTTGCCTATCCCCTAGCCCAAGCAATCATGCTTGCGTGCCATTGCCACCCACCTCCTTGTTGACCAGGCGTAGGAAGTCAGCTCGCTCCTTAGCCACAGACTGAAGGGACGGCATCGATGGGTGCACGGGGGCGGTAGGGAAAGCAGGGGAACGAGAGAAGGAAAAGGATGAGATAAGAGGAAGGGGGAGACAATGGCGGGGAAATGAGAAGTAGGCTTGACAAATACGACACGTGAATGGGGAAGCAAAGGGAGCTCATGTGAAGCAGTCTCAACCCCCCAATCCTACCCAATCCCACTCAGCTCAAACATCCCCACCCCACTTCCCACCCCTCTTCCTCCCTTCCCCCCCCCTCTCCCTTTCCCCCCCTCTGCCTTTCCCCCCACTCCCCCCCTCCCCCCCGGCCCCCCTCTCCCCCCCCGGCCGCCCTCTCCCCCCCCCCTTCCAACCATCCTCGCACCGAGCTAGAGGCGAGCACGGCGAGTGCAGCGCTGAGCTCGCACAGCTGGTCCTTCTTCGCCATGGCCTTCCTCTCTGCCAGCGCCCGCGCCTCCTCCCCTTCCAAAGCAACCCCTTCTGCCCCCGCTGCCCCTGCTCCTCCTGCTACCACGCCAGGAGTGGCCGCAGCAGCGGTGGTGGTGGTGGCTGCGGGGGTAGTCTCGGAGGTGGGAAGGGCTTCGCGCATCTCCTCTCTAGCAAGGTCGCGGCCGCTTGCCAGCTGCAGCCGTGCTGCCTCCTGTGCCTCCTCCTGGTTGGGAAGAAACGGGGAGCGAGGCGAGACGAGGGGGAAGAGAGTGGGGGTTGTGGGGGCGGGGGGGGGCGGGGGAGGGGGGAAATAGGTGAGAAAGGGTTAGGAGAAGTAGTGGGAACGGAATGACAAGGGAGGGTTTGAAAACCAGGGGAGCAGCGAAGGTGGGGACAAGGAGTAAAACAGAAAGAGATGCACGAACAAGATCCGGTTGCAAAACCAGGATGCAGAAATCAAACGGGGAGCTTGCCACTGAGAGGGCATATCTCCCTCCCCCCTCCCTCCCTCCCTCCCTCCCTTTTCCCCCTCCCCCTTCCCCTCCCACACACCTCGATGAGGCGCTCCTGCTCCTTGATGAGCTTGAGCTTCAGCAGGCGCGCGGACGTCTCTGCCTCGTCGTCGCTGGGCACCGTGGCCCCCACAGAGCGCACCACCTCCGCTGGCAGCGAAGACAGCGTCGCCTGCACTGCCTCCTCCGGCCGCTTGCTGCCCACCAGGAAGGCTCTGAGGGCGGGAGATGGGGGGAGAGAGAGAGGGTGCAGAGGAAGAGCGGAGTGATGGAAACGCGGAGAATGGGTGCCCACCAGGAAGGCTCTGAGGGCGGGAGATGGGGGGAGGACGCAGAGGAAGAGCGGAGTGGGACGGTTGATTGTGCCTACTGCCATTCTCTTGCTATACAGGATATATAAAGAATTCTTCAACGACGAGATGGGGGAAGACAGAGGGGACAACGGGAGAGGAGGGATACCTTGAGAGAATGAGAAGAGATGACGGGACGGAGCGGTTGAGCGCTAGGTCCAACCAGTCCCGCAGCTGCGCAAACGTGGGGGCAGGCAGGTCACGTCGCGGTGTAAAGACACGAGAATGAAAGAAATCGGAGACGAGATGCGACGAGAAGAGGCACAAACAAGCACGGGCATGTGCGCTAAAAAGAACACAAAGAAGGATTCAAGAAGAAAACAAGCAGCAGATGCGAGAGGTTAAGAAAGAACGGCCTCTAGATTAGCTGGCCACCGCGCATTCCTATCATTCTACTCCCACATGCCTCATGCGCCTCACCTGTTTCCGCATGTCTTCCACAGAACGCAGCCCCAGCATGCCCCTCTCCCTGCAAGCAGCCCTCAGCTCGGCCTCGGACAGCGACTCAACACCCTCACTCTGAATCATCTTGTCGTCCTCCTTGATCCTGCGGGCCCGAAAGGGACAAACGGGGGGGGTGTGAAAGGTTCAGCAGTCGACTCAAAAGCCCTCAGCTCGGCCTCGGACAGCGACTCCACGCCCTCACTCTGAATCGTCTTGTCGTCCTCCTTGATCCTGCGGGCACGAACGGGACAGAGGGGGCATGTGAAAGGTCGCAAAGAGACAGTGAACAGGGGGGGGAGGGGGAGAGGGAAGGCGTGAAGAGGTGATGAGTAGGGAGAAAGAGGTGTAGAGAGCTCACGGGGGAGAGGGGAGGACGGGGGAAGTGGGAGAAAGCGAGAGATAACGGAGAACGGGAGGGAGCGGGAATGGGGGGTGGGAAGGCACATAATTTTTACGAGCGTCTGTCTGTGTATATGTAACCGTAGATGGCTCTTTACAGCCCAAAGGTGTTGGGGTTCCATGACATTTAGTAATAACGGCTCACCAGGCGAGCTTAGCGCGTAGGATGTAGCGCAGATAGGCATCCGTGCCGAACGTCTGGAGCCCCATGTACTTGCACATGCTCACCAGGCGAGGCCTGGGCGACACACAGCGGGAGGGAGGGGGGTGGGAGGGTGGGAGAGAAGGAAGAGAAGAGCAGGGAGGGAGTAGTGTAACGGGTGAACTCAATGGTAAACCGGCAATGTACTGGCTGGCTTCGTACGAGGCAGGAGAATGGTATCGTGACACACTGACACCCACCTGGACATGTTATCAAGGGTGAGCTCATCATTGAACAGCGATGCAAAGGCGACGATCTCCTCGTTGGAGACGTGCCCTCCTGTGTTCACCTGCTTGCACAAAGCACCAAGCACCAAGCACAAAGCACAAAGCACCAAGCAAGGAACAACACCACACCCGTGCAAGGAGACAGCAGTGATCAACAACACTAGCACAACTCTTGTCGGGTGCCTCATTAGAGAGTTGCAGAAACCTGGACCGAGCACAAATACCAGCAAATACCGTGTGCTGGTTCACACTGAATCGAAGGCCCTTTCTTAAACCCCTGAGTGTTTCTGCATGTGTGCTCGCCTCTGTAAACAGTAACCCGTAACACCCTCCATCCAAATCCACGAGCAAGCACATACTCCCCAGTTCACACCTAGCCCCACCCAACCCAACCCCTGCGATCCCCCTTCAATCTCCCTCGCTCCCTCCCACCCTTACCCTCAACCCCCCCTTCCCCCCCTCTCCCCCTCTCCGCCCTCTCCCCGCCCCCCCCCCTCCTCTTTCCCCCCCCCCCCTTCCTCTTCTCCCCCCCCCACCTTCTTCATGAACTTCTGCAGCTCCTCCGCGGTGCGTTTGACCTCGCCCGACCGCCGGCTCTTCACCTCCTTGGCCATCTCGCCCACCGTGCCCTGCAGGAACCGCGCCATCTCCAGCCGCGCTTGCAGCCGCCGCTTCAGCTTCTCCTGCAAGGGGGGCGGAGGAGAGGACGCGGCGGTGCGAGATAGGAGGGGGGGGGGAGGGGAGGGGAGGTGCGAGGGACGAATGCTGAGATAGAGCGACGAAAAAGGAAGAGAAAGCAGTGGGGCGAAATAACACGAGCGCGTGCACACGAGGGTGCGGGGAGAGAACGAGTGGGGAAGAGAAGACGAGGGGGGAGAGGGTTGGGGGGGCGGGGGGAGATGGGCCGGAGGGAAGGGGGGAGGAACGGGAAACGGAGGGAGAGGGAAGAGAGATGCAACGGAGAATCAAGTTGCACACAGGACTGGCTAGCTCTCCAACCTCTAATCACTCACCTCTTCCTTGTTCTTGTCCTGGAAAGTCGAGGGCAGCATGTTCGGGAACAGCCTTAGCGCCAGCGGAAGCAGGAACTCCAGAAACGGCACAATCACAAACACGGCGAAGGGAACGAGCCTGAAGATATCAGCGGACGTGCGAGTCAGCTGCTGCCTCTCCCTCCTCGTCAGCGCTTTCCCATTCGCCGCTTTCAGCATCAGGCGCGAGCTGATCCGGATATCCGCCCACAGGAGCTTAGACCCCACCCAGTAGTGGTGCGCGCCGTGCTTAATCGCCTTCCACCAACCCTTGAAAGTACCGGACCAGTCTGCGGCGGACATGCCAGCCACGGAGGAGATGCCACGTGGCACGGCCAGCAGCAGCTGCCACGTGCGCGACAGCACGGCGAGGACGAGGAGCATGGACGCCCGGATAACCCCGCGGCCCTTGCTAACGGCTTCTCTTGTCGCTCTCACGCGGGCTCGCACCTCCCCAAGATCCTCAACAGCCTCATCGCACTCCTCAGCCAACTCCTCGCCCGCAATCCGCGCTGCACGATCCCCACTAGTAGCAGCTCCGGAGGCTCCCTGCGTCCCCGAACCTGCAGGAGCAGATTGCGCTGCCGTTGCTGTTGCTGTTGCCGGTCCTTTCGATCCAGAATCCGCCGGAGCGCCTGCTGCTGCAGCCGATGCAGCGGGTGCTGCTTCAGACTCGGATCGCACAGAACCCGCGGATCCCCCATGTCCGGGCGACGAGGGTGATTTGGGGGAGGTGGATAAGTGACGTCGAGAGCGGACGGAGTTTGTACTGAAGTTTCTGAGCGGAATAGCCGTACTTGTAAAGAGGGAATCCCCGGACGACCTAGCCAGATCCCCCCCTCGTGCTCCAATCTCCGAAGCTAGAGCGCCTGACTGAAATTGACCCCCGATGCCAGGAAAATCTAGGGCTGTCCGGCCTTGTTTACGTCTCCCGGAGATTGCGGATTCACGGGCAGGAGTAAGGATGGCGGCTGCAGACGCGGGAAGCAGACATTTTTGCCCGGACAGCGCTCTCCCCTGATCTCCTAAAATACGCGGGCTTCCGAAACCCGTGGATTTGGCTGCTCCGAGAGGCTGATGAGCTTCGGGAAAAAAATGGTCGGGCCAGAAACCATTATCAGGCAATGGCTTGGCCTCGTCAACAGCTACGGTACCAGGTATCGGGATTGCTGGCCCCGGAGCGTGCTGCTGACCACTGAAATTCGTCGATTCCGAATCTAGGGATTCATCCTTCAGTGAATGTGCCGATGCAGCGGAAGATAGATGGCCGTTTTCATCAGATCTAGCGGGCCTGCTGTGCAGGGATTCTAGCGCTTTCGAGAGCGGAGCTGCTGATCGGCGACGAGAAGCTGAGCGCCTGACAGCTGCCAGATGCTTGAGACCCTGACGCGTGGCCATGGATGCCGGACGCTTGCCGTTGCAAGTTCACGTAGTGATAAAAAAGAAGGAACTACTCTAGATAGAAGTCAGCAGCAGGATGCTCATTGTGGGTGTGAATGAATGTCCAGATGATTGTGGGTGTGCTTTGAAGGTCAGAAGCACCCAATAACCATGCGCAGACAGAGAGGAGGATTAGTGCATCAGCGCTTCGACAATGTCACAAGGGATGCGAAGGCGAAGGGAATATCAGCAGCCAGATCATCCGTGGAAGGGGTGACTACGAAGCCAAGAGCGGGTGTCTGGAGTAAGCTTCGCTGTCCAGATCTAACCAGTACAGCAGAAGACTAGAATCGCAGTGCAGGAAGTGCAGAGGACGGAAATATAGACGGCCCTAACGTCTACGAGTCCTGTGTCAGAGCCTCCATACAGATGGAAAGATGCCTGAAGGCTCTGTTCGGCTGTGTCAAGTGAAAAGATTCCAGTTGACTGCAGGGGACTCTTCGGCACAAGCAGTAGGATGTGTGGTGTGTGGTTTGGGGGGCGTGGGTCATGGTACAAAGGGACAACCAGCCAGGGGGAGGGAAGGGAGCCAACGGCGCGCTTTGATTGTAACAAATCTCGAGGTGGTGTGTGCCTGGGGAGAAGCATGGCTTCATGTTTTCGCGGGACACAAACCACACGATGATATCAAGGGCGATGCACACAACTGCTTTCCCTGATTCGCTTTAGTGCAATACTCGCGATTATTCGCTGGAATTTTGGGGAACTTTGGTTGAAGTCGAAGGCTGCCAGATTTTCCGGGCCATCTTTCGCTTCGAAGCAGCCTTTGGTGTGTGGCCAGGTGGAAGAGAAAGTGAAATGGAATTTTCGTACGGCCACGGTGGATCCACTGTCATTGGCCTTGGAGGACGTGGACCCACGAATCTGGGAAGGGCGTTAGGGAGCGCAGAATCGTTGAACCTGAACATCCCACTCTGTCATGGTCAGCGAGTCATAACTCTCTTGCCTCAGCCAGGAGTAACACCGATTTAGCCAGCTTCAGTACACCGAATCAGCCATACCATGGATAGTGTTATGAATTATAACTCAGAGTATAGCACAGAATTCTGTAAGGGGAACATGACTACAGAGTGTCGATAGAAATGAGGCCTAGGGAATAGATAGGGTGATTTACCAGGGTTGAATCTCGAGGGTTGGACCAGTCAAGGGCTCGATAGTCCCGAGGGTGACGAGGTGAAAATGGGTTCGGGGCGACTCGGGATGAGGTTGGGGCCGAATAGGTCGGCGGGGGCTGGTTCGGCGCGTGACTTCAGGGCCGAGCCTGAGGACGCGAACTGTTCGTGTGTACTCGCTGTGGCAAGCCCCAGTAAGCAATCGTAATTCCTTACACTCTCCCACCTTCTAAAGAAGGAACTCCCCATATCGAGGTCGAACCTTTCATCTAATTTAAGCCCCGAAGTGACTCTACGTCTTCAGCTCTGTGACGAGCGTAATGATTCCCCGACCTGATGAGGTCTTCAATTCGAGCTGCGATCAAAGGTCAGAAAGCGTTGAAACGATCGTGGTAGATCCTGACCGTTGAATCTTGATGAGCGTAATAATGACGAGACTTCATGAGGTAAAACTCCATCCAACGGCTGAAACATGTCGTAGTGATCGTAATCGATCGGAGTCATTGAAAATAATCGACTTCTTCAACTGACCGAACAGGCAAGGGTAAATACTCGAGCGGGAGACTGTGAACAGTGAAAATTGTCGAGTGGTCGATTGATGATGGCGTGTGGCAGATGAATATGTTGAAATGATGACTGGCGAAAAAACGTGGTGGTCGATGAAATGAAGAACCCGCTCATCAAATGCGAGGTCGTTCGTGTCACATGCGAGATCACGCGTCCGTGTCCCACGAAAGTGAGCGAACTCCATCAACGAAGTGACGAAATCAAGCGCGAAAGCGTAACGGTGACGAATGTTGCTCGAAGATAGATGATGGAACACGCCGAAAGGGTTAGACGAAATCTGCAGCGCAATTGCACTTTCCTCCCCTCCAAGAAGAAACAGCTCCCAACTTCCTAGGTAAAACTCCAGGAAACCCAATGCTCAAGGGTAGTCGAAAGAATCCCACGCTGCTGCTTAAAAGTCTCATACTCAGGTTCGAAGATGCCGCTGCAAAACTCCAACCGCTAGAACTCCCAAATATGCTCCAAAGTAATAATTCTTCCTCAGGAGAAACTGCTTCAATGGTCTTCAAAATCATAAGAAACTGCTCCGGAAGACTCCTATGCGAACTAAAAATTCTGCACGAATAGGAACACTGTTTGCGAGCTGGTCCCAACACAGCTCCAACAGTACTGTTGCAAAATCTTTGCGTTTCAATACTGCACCTGATGGGTGGCGAATATGCGGCGGGGTCGTGTTCACAATGTCGGGCAGTGACGA